GTGGGCAGAGCATAAGACTGGCTTGCAGGCTATTTCACTGTACCCTGTCCAAAAGTCCAAAGTATCATGGGTAGGGGGGATGCCACATAGTCAATGAAATTACCTTGAACTTTTGAGTTCTCACCACCCAGGCCTAACCAGCAAAACCTCAGCTCTACAAATCCAGAACTGTCTGGAGCCTGAACTTCTGGAACCCAGGAGGGGAAAGGCTCGTGCCAGTGTCCCCAAGCCTGTCTTACTAAAAACTAAGTGAGAAGAGAGCTCGCAGTCACAATATCAACCCCCATCCCTACCTCCACACTAACAGTTTGGGGAAGGGGAGGGGGAACTAAAACAGGGAAAGAGAAGTCCCTTTTCAAATACCACGAATAACTGTGAGGCCTAAAGCCACAGGGAGGACCCCCAAATCTACATTTCCATCCAGGAATTCTGTCCTTGGAAAGTGGGTTATCTGGGAGAATTTTTCTAGTGAGCCCTCAGCACTGCCCAACTGCCTTTCCATCGTCGGCCCCAAGGCAGCCCTATTCAGGACCCAGGACAGTTCCAAAAGGGCCCAAACCCCCTCCGAGTCCCCTTCAGCACTCGGGACAGCTCCCAGGGATTGCGGACCGCGTAGCCAGAAACCCAGCCTGCTGGAAAGGAGCAGGCTTACCCTGCCACAGCCCTCTTTATAACAGAAGCCCCTCTGCCCTGCCCCTCCCGTACTCGCTGTCAGCCACCGGAGGCATCTGGTACCCCACCCTTCAGTCTCTGCCCAAAGAGAGAAAAGAAACCCAGACAGGAGGCTTCCCCGAAGGAGCCTAGAGACAGGACCCCACCCACCTCCTTTCAGCCCTGAGCCTCTCAACGCCACTCACAGCTGGTTCTAAACACCACTTGCCTTCCTAACCACCACCCCCAAAATAAAAGAAATACTCACGTGGGGGCTCCCAGCCCTGTAGGAAGATGTAGTGAGGGGAGGCAGAGAGAGGTAGCTCCCCACACCCTGTTGCGAGCCCCTTTTCTGAAGGAGCCAGCTCCCATCTGAACTGGGGGGTGGGGGGGAGGAGAGACATGTGGAAGCACAGAGTGATGGGGAGGGGAGAAAGGAGAGGGAAGGAGGCAGGAGCAGGGGACTGCAGGGTGGGGGTGTTGGGATGGGGGTGAGGGAACCCTTTTTAATTTCATTCTCTTCCCATGCCTACATCAGCCCTGCAGGCTCAGCTATTTAATATTTACACACAGGAAGAGGAGAGGATGAGAAAGAATAAAGTGAGGGGGGCAGAGGATACCTGAGCTCAAAGGACATAGAGGCTGGGGCTTTGGGGATCGCGGAGCTTGGGGGCCCCATACCATCCCCAGCCCACTCCCATTATGAGCTCTTGACTGGAAGGAAGAAGGAACCCTGGGACTATTCTGTCCCTTTGTTAACAAGACACTTTGAAGCTGCATCAGAAAAAGATCAGATCTCAACCCACATACCTGGACACCCCCACAAACCCAGATTTCTTGAGTGCCTTATGTGCAGATGGTAGAGGCAATATTCATACACAAGCATGTTCTGATGCTTGAAAGCATGTGTGCATGTGGGCTGCTGTGTAAAAGCACATGAATGTGTCATCTATCACGTAGAGGTTTAATCAAATATATTCTGAGTGTATTGACATGTAAAAGCTCAGACAATCATACACAAATTATGTAACCAAATGTGTAAACCAGCCCCCAAGTGATCGCCCCGGGATCTTCAGCTACAACCCTAAGGACAAGGCCACCCACCTCCCCAGACTCCCTTATTCACAAGCCCCTCCATCGCAGCCTCACTTTTTCTTCCTGTGACATGGGGAGAAGGGATGGTGGGAAGCACACAGCATTTGAGCCCGGGGACTTGACAAGTTATTAGCAACGATGAGCGGGCAGCCCGTTACCATAACGATGGTGCCACTGCCTCACCCCAGCTCAAACCCAGACTCCCCAGACAGCAGGAGGCCCGCTGAGCCAGCAGCCTTCAGACTGGAAGGGGGGTGAGTAGAGAGGGAATCGAGACAGATGCTTGGAGAGTGGAGGATACACAGCTGTTCTTCCAACCCCCACTGCAAAATGAAGCTTTGAACCCACCACGTGGGAATGAAATCAAACTCTGGAAAGGTTTCCTGACCATGGGGATGGTGAGAAACTGGAAGGGGTCTGTACAAGCCCCACCAGGCAGAAGCTGCCGTTGTCACTCACTCCCTCCATCCTCTCACTCCAAGAACCTCTTCTACTGATCTTAGTAGATTAACAGAAAACTGACCAAACAAGAGTAGCTCTCTGAATTTCAGTCTTCCCATCTGTAAAATGGGAACAATTATCTTTATCATTTGCCCTAGACTCCTGGAAGGTTTAACTAGAAAGGGTTTAAAGGTAACCACACACCTTTCCAAAATCAGACAAACCCCAGAAGTTTCTTTACCCAAAAGGAACCCAGAATGGAAGGGTTGCCAGGCCAGCTAGAGCCAAAATGCATCAGAAACTGGGTGGGATGAAAGAAAATGGAACTCAGCCGGCTCAAGCCCCAACATCAGCTGGAGAGATGAAAGCAGCAGGAAGCAGGTGCTGCCACGGAAGAGAGTCTGGGAGTCTGGCTTGCAGCAGCGCTAGCCCCTCACTAGCAGGAATCAAGACAAGCCCGTGGCCTACACTGGTGGCAGACATGGCTAGGAATCCCTATCTCCAGAAACATCTCTACCTCCCTCTCTTTAGAAAGGGGTCCCAACTGGAAGGATCTATAGTCTTGTACTTATTGAGTCTTTAACTCTTCTCCTCAAATCTCTGCTCAGTTCTGATGGGCATGGGGAGAAGGAAGGGGTTCCCAGGAATAAAGAGCAACATGGAGGGTTATGAAATTCCTGGGCTAGGACTAACCAGAGACCCACAAACTTGCTGTGTGACCTTGGGTAAGTCCCCAGCCTTCTCTGGGCTTCAGTGTCTTCACTTTATAATTAAGAGGTTGGACCAAGTTAATTCTAAGGTTCCTCCCCTAAGAATCCTTTCACAGCTACAAACAAGCTCACTCCTTGGAAGAGAGCCCCCGGCATAAAATGCAGTGGACACTGCTTGTCAGATCAGTGGGGTCACAGGGGTTGCGCATGCGCGGAGGGTATTGAGGATGTGCATCCTGTGTTCATGTTCCTTTTAGCAACACCTGCCACCCTAGCCCTCCCAGCTCCCTTTTTAGACCCTGATTCACTGCCAGCTCACGAAGCCTCTCCCTCTCCTCCCTCCTCTCTTCTCCTCCCCCCTTCCTTATAGGCCTTGGAAGCTGGGTGCAGAAGTAGCCCCAGCGCTCAGGGGATGCTGGGCAGAGGTGGAGGTCAGTGCCCCCTGGGTCAGGGAGAGCACAGCAGGGAGTACCAACCTCTAACCATGGCCCAGCACAGCTCCTTGAGTCACCAGAAAACCTCGGTTGGAGCCTTCCTGTACCTCTGACTAGCAGTGTGGGATTACAGCAAATGCAATTCAACGCTGAGCCTCAACATCCTCATCTATAAATTGGCATTAGAATAGGCTGAACTACATGAAATTGCTGTTTTTGTAGGTAAAAAACAGAAATAGTTGAATATTGGCAATTTCATACAGCTTAACCTGGCCTGCCTGCTTCCCAGGGCTGCTGGGGAGATAAGAAGAAAGAGTTGAGAGGGGAGCATTTTTCAAAAGCCCTGGACTGCTAAAACGGCACTGGGTTTTTATTATTATTATTATTGTTATTATTATTTCAAAGAGCTTCAGTACAGACCCACCTAGAGCCAGTAAACTAAACCAATGACCCAGAACTTGGAAATTTAGGGCTTGAAAGTCTGGGGGACATCCACCTGCTCTGATGACTAAGAACAGGGCAGAAGCTTCCACCTGGCCTCCTCAGTTCCTGGTTCTAAAGGTCCCTCGGTGAAACATCGCTGAGATGACACAAGTTCTCAGGCCCCAAGAAGAAGCGCGCAGACTCTCCAGCCCACCTGAAGCCTCCGCACCACCAGGGACCCCAGCATGCAGCAAGGACACAACCGGAGCATCACAGAAAGTACCCCCTGAGGTAGGAGAAGGTGGGGACGAAGGTGGGGAGTGCGACGCGGCTCTGGCCTGAGAGGGGAGGGTGGGGGAGGAGCCCCTGGTGAGAGGGGATGGTCTTACCTCCGAAAAGTCTGATCTCCCTGTCCCATGTCCCCCCACCACCATGGATCCCCTGAGGGAGTGGGGAGGGAATGAAGCCCAGATGTGGGTGACTCAGAGTGAACCCTGTTCAGATATATTCTCATACGTCCAACACACACACACACACACGCGCGCGCGCGCGCGCGCACACACACACTCCTACAGGCCAGAGATACCTGTATCCACTCACAGAGACAGTCACACTGGCACACACACTCACAGAGACACACACAGGCACATGAAGTGACAGCACACATGTCCACAGATACATACACAGTAACACCCTCCACACTCACACTGCATACACCCACTGACACGCACGCACACTCGCCCACAGTGACATGCACTTACTGGCACACACAATCACCCACAGACACACACGGTGACACACACACACTCGTCACAGACACATAGTGACACGCACTCACACTCACACACCTGCAGAGGAAACTTCTCTCCGGATCTCCCCAACACCACCACTTCCCCCCACAACCCAGTTGGCTACTCGCTCTCAGACCCAAGCCTCCTGCCGGGCCGAGCCGGGCCGGGCCGGGCTGGGGCTGGCCAACCCCCGCGGCGCTACCTGGGAGAGTCGGTCCTCGCTCCGCGTGGTCCCTCCGCCCGTCCCTCGGGTCAGGCCCGCGGGCCGCCAGGCCGTGGCGAGGGCGGGGGCGGGGGCAGCGGAGGAGGCCCAGCCCTTGCCCCTCACGGGGCCGGGAGCCGAGGCCGCCGGAGCCCGGGGCGTGGGCGGCGCCGGGGCGGCAGCCAGGCCGAGGATGGGGGCGCTGCAGAGGGCGCGGCGAGCGCGGCCGTCCCCACCCCTCCCCGCGGCTTACCTGGCCCGGCTCGGGCTCCGGCCGGGTTACATGGTGCCGGCGGCCCGGGCTGGGGGCGCTGCGGCGGTGGGCAGGCAGGCAGGGACGGGGCCCGGCACTGCGGAGCCCCGAGCGAGCGCCGAGCGGCAGCGGGCGCGGGAGCGGGAGGCGGCCAAGCCACGGAGGCTGGATTTCCCGGGGACCAGGAAGGGGAGGCGGGGGGATCCCGCCCGCGCGCTCCGCCCCCGCCCCCGCCCCCGCGCAGGGCAGCCGAGCCCGGAGCCCGGAGCCGGGAGAGGGAGGGGTACCGAGCTCCCCGCCCCCGCACCGGACCCAGGAGGGCCGAGGTCGCAGCCCGTGGCGGCCGCCGGGGTCTCCACGGAGCGCACGCCTCGCTCAGCGACAACACTGGGGAGGCCCAGCTGGGTTTGTGTCCGCCGGGGACCCAGGACTAGGCACACAGTGCCACGGCCAGGCACAGCCGACCTAGGCACAGGGACCGAAGCCCAGTGGCTGGGCTGTTGGGGAGACAGTCACCCAGTCTCACAGACACGGTCTCGCGCCCCATCGAGGCAGTCACACCCTGAATGTCACACACAGCCCCCCGGGCACATCCCCTAGGAGTCTCTCCCTCAGCTTTTCCCGGTCATCTCCTCGACTTCAGTTCCTGGCCTCGGTTCAAGGAGCCCCCTTCCTCTGCCCCAGCCCCTGCCAGCGCGGGGCGCTGCGCCCGGCCTCAGAGCCACTGACAGGGGTCCCCCACCCTCAGCCCGCACAGCCGAGGCATCCCCAGTGTGGAGGGAGAGCCCCGCTATACCTGCCGAGTTTGCTGGGGCCCCCACCTGTGCCCACGGTGTCCGCCCACCTCTAGGCCCTGAGCCAGGGGTTGTGCCAAGGCGGGGCGGGGTGGAGGAGGGAAAGGGGACTGTCCGAAGCACAGGCGGAGGCTGCAGAGCCTGGACACAGGCTGCGGGAGCCAGCAGAGGAGGAGGAAAGCTGACTGCAGCAGTCCCTGGCTTGAATCCGTCTTGGCGCCCAGAGCGATGCTGTAATGGGGGGGAGGGGGCCGCACTGGGGAAGCCGCAGGGGGAGGGGCTGAAGATATGGGGAAGGGTTTGGTTCTGGGCTCTGATTTCCCACGATCGGGGTGAGGGAACACTACCTCAGGCACCCAAAGTTGGGATGGAGAATAAGAATAGCGTGCGTCCTTGAAGCCCTTGAAGCCTCCCTCCCTTCCTTCACCTTTTCTGATCTTGAAAGCTTTGGGGTGGTGAAGTGTGGGTTTGGGAGACTGTCTTCCTCTCTAGAAACAGACCGTGAAGTAGTTCTTACTCAACACTTATTCAGCAATTGCCTTCTCCGTGTACCAATTTGTGGTCACAGGCTCTCCTCCTGGTAGAAAGGAGGAAACCAAGGCACAGAAAGTAGAAGTCAGGGGCCCAAAAGAGTTAAAACTGAGAGCCAAGCCTTTTCTCCTTTACCCAAGGAAATGTTTAAAGATGCCACATAAATGGACATAAATGACATAAAGGAGTTGGCAGAGCCTTTCCCCAGGGAAACCTAGAAGTCTGGTGGGAGGCTGGCAAACTGGTCATCCACCTGTCTTGCTGCCTACAAAACCAGTTCAACCAAGCCTTTTCAATCATGGGCTAAGGTCACAGATAATTCCCAACCCAGGGATCAGCCAAGAGCAGATATTAGAGAAAAATAACAGAAGGTTGGTCCCAGGAACCCACATTAGAACTGAAAGAAGCACTTCATTTTCCATGAAGCCTAAGAACAACTATCATGAAGGGTGCTAAGAGGCACCACCATGTTTTCTCGGTTCTAAGATGTAAATTTTGTTAACTGAAATTGGAAAACATCTTAAACTGGAGAGGGACATTTAATATGATTTTCTACTTTTTTCATAAAGTTGTTATCAAAGAGTTGATGTGCTTTAGATCATAGTGTAGTTTTTATTTGTTCATTCAACAATCATTTACTGATTGTACATGGCACCCTGCTAGCCTGTTGGGGCATAACCATTAAGCAGACAGGTTTTACCTTGAAAAGTGTTCTCTCGCACCCATCCAGGGAAGTATAGGGAGATAGAGACGTAAAACAGTAATTACTATCAGGGCCACCTTCGTGAGAGTGTGAGCTATGCAGTCACACAGAGCCCAGACTTATAAAGGTCCCCACTCTTGGTTTAATGCTCTGCTGTCACTGTTTGAAATTCCTAGTAATTTTTTAGCAAGGAGCCATACTCTCTACAAATTATGATAACTATACTAGGAATCCCATGACTTAATAGAGACGGGTACAAAGTCTAGAGTCAACAACAGCTCTGCCTAGATGGAAAGGGGCAATCAAAGAAGTAAAGAAGCAATAAAGAGGCATTTGAATAGTCTCAAAGATTGGGAGAGAGAATTAGAGTAGAGAGCCACACGTGTGCAGATACAGAAATTCATCAAAATGTCAATCAAGAAGTATGGCAGACTAGGTGCTTTGTTGACCGTTTCACTGAAAACATGATAAATATTTTTTTAAATGATAAACAAAATATATTTTTAAGTCTTCTTAAATGCATCAGTGAGCTGGGGAAAAAATTACTCCAGCCAAAATTTAAATGAAGGCAGAATCAGAAAGGTAAGCAGAGCACTGAAGCCAACTTTATTTATCCTGGGGGCTGTGATACATTGGTTGCAAAAATGGCACCAATTCACCTCTCCCTGAACCCACGTCCTTTACCACATGACTTTGCAACTCCTTTTATCAAGAGGTGGACCTCTTGAATCCTACCGCTTGAATCTGAATGGACTGTGACTTGCTTTGGCCATGAGAATATGGAAGGAATCATGGTATGCTAGTTCTAAGCCTAAGCTTTAAGAGGCTTGTATACTTCCAGTCCTTCTCTTGGCCTTCTGCTTCCTCTGTGGGAACAAGCCTGGTGAGGGATGAGAGACAAGGTGTAAGACAGCCATGCTATTCCAGCTAAGACCACCTTAGATGATCTTATAGCTGATCCTCAAATATATGATAGAGCCCAACCAAGAGCAACAGAGATACAAGCTCTGTCCAGGAAGTATCCAGCCATGTAATATGCAAAATCGAGACATTTATTGAAGAACATACAAGATACAAGAAACATTGGACATAGAACAAGGATGCCTCAGTCCCCTTCAAAGTAGGCACCTTGGGACCTCACACAGTTCTCCCAATTGCCATCACCTACCCTCTTGTATTTTCCTGAATTTCATCAGCAGTCTGAAACCTCTTCCCTTCCAAAGGTGATTTTAGTTTTGGGAAAAGCCAGAAGTTGCAGAGCACCAAATCTGGGCTGTATGGGGCTGAGTCACCTGGGTGATTTGATGTTTCACCAAAAAAACTCTGCACAAGATGTGATACATGAACAGGCACATTGTCATGATGAAGCTACCGCTCACCAGTTGCCCATAGCTGTGGCCTTCTGAATCACCCAAATATCTGCAAAGGAATGTTCAAGCTTAATGCAAACTTTAATGCAGATTTGTTGCTCTACTCACTCAATCATTTTGAATGAGACAGCCACAGAGTGCACATACTCATTCAACATCGTCTACCACCCCCACTGACTAGTACAGTGAAGTCATCATTGTTCATACATGCACACTCCAGTCTGCTCTCCTTGGCTGCCAGTTTGCATCGATGTCACACACACCAGTCTCATTATATTAACAATGACTGGACTTTTTCTGGACAGACCTTGTATACCAGACCATGGCTGACTGCAGACAGTTAAGTGAGACCAGCTGAATGAGAACTATCCAGCCAATTTTAGGACTCTTGAGCAATAACAAATCCTTATTCATTTAAACCACGGAATTTTTTAATGCTTTGTTGTGACGCAATATAAATAAATGATACAAGTATGTTTGCTAACAGATGACATTGAACTTCAGTTTTCATGATCTCTCAGGGCATATAGAAGAGAAGATAAAGCACAGGGTCTGCCCAAATTGAGAAATTATTCCACTGCATAAACTTAGAAGCCAAATGGGACCTTGCTACTCTAATGTACAGGTAAACTAGAGAAAAACTCACCTCATCCCCATACCTAGGAAACTGCAAGGAAAATTACCCATCTTAAACCTTAATAATAATAATGAGTGTAGGGAGGAAGAATCTCCTCCTGAGAATCCATAACTACAAGGTAGAACTCCCACCATATGCAATCAAATTCGCTCTACCTAGGTGATCTGAAAAATCTCAGGTCAAGAAGTTAGTATAAAATTGTCCCAGGATGATAGTACCAAGGGTGCCTGGCAGAAGGAAACGTAAAATCTTTGTTAGAAGAATTCACCTTCATCTCAGACCTCAAATAATTTCCACAGATAAAGTTCCAAAGAAGATAAACAGCACACAGTCAAATATCATCAAACGCACAAGGAAAAATGGCACCAAGAACAAGAACCAGCAAAAACAACAAATAGCAAAAACACATCTGTAAGAATTCAACTGTTAAAATTATGAGATACTATAAAATAACTGTGTGTATAAATATATATCTATGTATATGCATACATATATTTAGAGAAATAAAATAGTCCTGTTGCCTTTGGCTTATTTCCTTCTCTTTGGCCAGGCCCAAGAGAACAATGTTAGACAGAAGTGGTGATGATGGGTGTGTTTGTCTTGTTCAAAACTTTAACGCTCTAACATTCCCTCTTTAGGATGATACTTGTAAGATTTTTGTAGACCTCTGTTGATCAGCTATAGGAAGTTCTATTTTATGTCCGACTAGGAGTTTTAATCAAATGTATGTTGAATTTTATCAATGACTTTCTGTGCATCTTTTGACATAATCATACAATTTTCTCTTTTAATCTGTTGTGATCAATTACATTTAGAGTTTCTTAATATTAAATTTTACTTTTCTGAGATAAACCCAACTTACTCAAGAAGGTTTATTATTTAGTTTACAAATTGGATTTGATCCGCTAATATTTTGTTTTCAATTTTTCATCTACATTAATAAATAAAACAAGCCTGGTATTTTCCTGTATTTGGTATCTAAGTTATTCTAGCTTCATAATAAGTTGGGGAAATATTGTCTCTTTT